CATTTATGCTATCAAACTATTTTATTCACAAAAAAGTATTATTGCAAACGAAATATTGTTTAATTTCTCGTTATTCCAATGCAAATCAGATATGAAATTAGCGACTTCAGAAACTTAGGAATACCAACTTTTGTAAAATTTCTATCATACACATTGATGAATTTTTTCCACCAAAAGACAGTTTCGAACCACTGTGCGTTACATTCGCAAATTACTGACCCGTGAAAAAGTAAAGAAGGTTAAAATGAAACTATAAAAAAAGTGCCTAATCGCCAGCATGACACCGCATCGGGGACACATGTCCAACACGTGTCGTCAGTTCTCCTCTCCTTACGATTTTAAAAAGTAACTGTCTCCTCGTTTTCTCGGTTATTATTCCGCGCTTCGCCGTACGATTAAAGAAAGCGTTCGTTCATCGAGTTGCGACGCTTTTCAACAGCCCGTCGAGTGAACGATCGGGACGAGGACGCTTGGTCGCCGCGGAACAACTTCGTTCGAACGTTTCCGTCGCGTCGCTCGATACTTACAGCGGCACCGACGGAACTCACGGCGGCGACGGAACTCACGGCGGCGCGAATCGAACGCGTTCCGATGATAAATCTCTGAACGCCGTCATGCAGACGCATAGTACGCTGCACGTGTACGTGAACGAGAGATATTATTGATATCGAAGCCTACTTACAGACATGCTCTCCGTCGAACCGTGATCCTGACCTACCAAGGATCTGTTGCTCTGCAGCAACGCCTCCAAACTTTCGATATACTCGATCGCGTTCCGTAGAATCTCCACTTTCGGTAATCGCTGATTGGGGTTGTTACTCGTCCTCCGTTTCAGAACCTCAAAAGCCTCATTCACCTGGAAATACGCATATTTTCAAGGATCAGATCTTCGGTACTCGTCCTGGCGGTAAGAAACGCAGATGTTTCGTAGGTCGTTTTGAACACTGACCTTTCTCAAACGTCTTCTCTCCCTCAAAGTAGCCGCCTTCCTCCGATCGACGGTCACCGTTTTCTTCTTGCAGGCTTTGCAAGCCCAAAGGAGACACCTTCGCGGCCCGTGGGCCGTGACGGCGTTGTCCAAAGTCACATGAGGATGAGGCACGTGCTCGTTCGATTCGCTTTCGTTCGACTCGTTACCCCTTTCGTTCGGTTCGTTGGGCTCGTTCGATTCATTACCCTCGTTGCTTTCCTCGGCGTCGACTGAACCCGACTCGAGATCCGCCGAGGCGTCCAACGACCCGACCGACGACGACGCCGAGTCCGAATCCACCGCATACGATCGCGACCTGTCGATCGATACGAAACTTTTACCGATTCTTCCTCGTTTAGCGAATTCTCCAAAATGAACTCGCTGATAAATCGAATGAACCGCGTCGTTTGAATGGTACGCGGTTCCAGGTGGTTCAGAATTCCGTCTCCTAATATGATCACGTTAACGACGGATTGAAGACGCGACAACCAACGGTTGTTAAACGGAACACGAAATACGAGCTGAAAATGGTTTAACGGGCAATAAAACCGTCAACAGGACGACTCTCGCGATAACGAGCGACGCTACGAATCCAAATATCGTTCCGATCTAAAACTAGATTCCTCGTTGGAGCGAAAAGACTGGAGGACAACAGATCGTAATAGCCGACCAGGGGACATCGTGCGTGACACGAAACTCGTACCTGTGGTATTCCGGTGAACCTGAGGACCCTAACACAGAAACGTCCTTGGTCGTTTCTACGACGCGACTTCTAGCCTCTTCGTCCACCACCCCTTCGGACAGGTATCCTTGCAGAGAATCGATCGAAGAGCAATCGATGGGTTGGTACACGACGTCTCGACGCCGACGGTGGTGGTGATGATAGTAAAGATGATGATGATGATGGTGGTATCGATGATGATAGTAACGATGCTGATGATGTCGATAGGCGTCGTAAGACGATCTACCGGCCGGTGGACACGCGTAAGGCACAGTGCCCGTCACAAGAGTCATCGTATATTATTTATAATCTGTGTCGACGAGTTCAACGGAAGGTTCGATACGCCGATCTTTCAGCCACCAACGAGTTTAGCAAAAATGATTCGTCAGCGACTGTTCTAATCCCGAACATTGCGCGCCGCAAAAACCGAGCATCGTGAGAAATTTTCGTGAATATTAAATTTGTTAGACTTTAAGAAAGTGTGTATTTGAAAGAATGCACAGAATCGCAGCTGAACGATTGTGAACAATTTTGTAGGATCGACGAAAGCACTGAACACCGACGAAACGTGGCCCTACGAAACGTGCGCAAATGCGAGCTGCAAGCTCTCGCACACCCTCCTCGGCACTGGTCCGCGCTAACGCTCGCAACTCGCGCTTGCGAGCACGCTTCCCTCGGCACACACGCTCAGCCCGGCACTGTTCGAATAGTTTACGAGCCGCGTTCACCGACTGGTTACACCCAGATGGATTATTTTCGACGTGAAACCGACCAATTAGAGGCTGTGAACATTTTCTGGGACCCACCAACGCGTCCCGCCTATTTTCTTTCCTCGTTCGAATCTAATGTACCCGGCTTGACGCTTTGTCGGTCCAGGGTGTGGCTTAAGATGAGGATCGCAACAAGGAAAATGGAAAACAAACCATTTGTCAATTCGTCCGCGCGTCTACGAACCGTTCGTTCAATTCATTTAACTGCCAACCGGCTCAAATTTTCGTTGGATCCATTCGAAAAGCTTGGTCAATAAATGTTCGCGCTATCAACGGTGACAACATTCCTTCACATCTCAAATCCTATTTTCACCTCGTTGAAAGCATGAACGGTTCTTTTTATAACAGCATTTAAGGGTTGACAGCTTCAGCGAGGGTAACGAAAGTTTTATTCGAATTGTCTCGAGATACAATTTTAATGATGTGAGAATTTGTAGGGCACAATGTGGTTTTTTTGGCTAAATTTCAGTTCCTCAAAGTTAGTGAATAAAAAATTTTCTTACCCAGCCAAGGGTAGGTTGGCTCAGATCGTATAGTGCGGGCCCTACAACGTACTTTTATTGATCAGAGTTTTTGGTTAATAATTCAAAAACCGTGTCTCACTTTGCATCTTACCAAAGGAAATTGTTGCTCAGAATTATTTACAGAAGCACCTCGCTTCGGCTCTAACACTTTTCTGGGACACCATGTATATTCTGGTGTACATTTAAAATTTACTTGTGTGTTATAGTTATATTTGAGGCATACATTCTTAGTAATTTTATGAATA